GTGTATGTGGCTGACACCCTTGCCACTGAGCTACAGACTCTCTTAATCCTAAATTAAAGTTTAAATGGACGAGAGGCTCTACTGTTTAAATCAAAACTCTGGAAACAATCCTGAAATAGAAAAGTCTTTCTCAAATCATCCCTTAATTTATCTTTTTCTGTAGATTTAATTTTCCTATAGAGTCACTTATCTTTTCCTATCTGGGAAACAAATGCAAACAAATGCAAAGAAAACTATTCAAATAGAATTCTATTTTGAATTTCAAATTATTAGAGTATATCTAGTGACTACTTTGGTATAGGGAAAAGATTAATCAGGCACTGCATGTGGGGAGATCTGTGGCTGAACTTTACATATGATAATAAAAAGCAGAAACAATAATGTTAGCATAAATTGGTAGGGTATAATCCAGAGCGAATGGTAACTCAAGACAATTTAAAAAATTCAGCAGCATAAGAGTAAGGCAAAACATGGAGACCCTAAGACGAACATGAATTGCAAAGAAAGAAAATCAGAAATAATACTTTTTAGTGTAGCTATTATAATACCTCAGTAAAATATATTACTTATAAAGACGTATTTCCCTACAGAAAAGAAGAAAACCTGTAATAAAAATATTATATCCCTTAAGACAATCCAATAATCACTTTAAGATAATGTTAACTGAAGCAACTTTGTTCTTATTAAATTTCCTTAAATAGGTTTGTCTTATTAATTAACAAGGGAACTTGTTCACTTAGGATCTTGAGAATATTCCCTTGGTCATCCTACCTTTCGTATGTATTAATAGGCACTCTGATTTCCAAATCGATCCTCACATGAACTTAATGGGTATGAAGCAGTTTTTTAATGAACAATAATCTAGTGGATGAGATCACAAGGGCTAACTTAATGTGCTTACTAGTTGTCCCCTACACAGAAGACTCTAATATTTGTTTTGTTCTCCTTCCTTCCCTTGCAACTCTGCAATAAAAATAACAAACCCATAACCCAAAAGAACTACATAAGACAGGATGATGTGTTGCTAATACTTTAACATAAATATTTAATAATTTATTGTAAAAATATTTTACACACCACCACAAGTACTGAACATGATTTTACAAAAGTTACAATTTTATGACAAAAATATTTCCAAAAATGACCATGATAATCCACCTGTCTTCTTCTTAACCTTGGTATAACAGCTAAGATTAGGGTTAGAATTTAACCCTAGCAGACATGAAAATTTGGTTTTCTGATTTATAAAGATAATCTAACACATAGGAATACTGATAAGCATTTCCAGGTGCTTCAAGAAACGGTCATATATGCAGCCAAGGTATGGTTAACCGAGTTTAAAAGAAATTTACACATTTCTAGTTACAGATCCTAACTAGAAATATCACAGTAAAGCTAGTTAGTAAACAACAAACAGATAAATTTCTTTTCTTTTCTTTTCTTTTTTTTTTTTTTTGAGACAGAGTCTCAAGCTGTTGCCCTTAGTAGAATGCCGTGGCGCCATAGCTCACAGCAACCTCAAACTCGAGGCCTTAAGCCATTCTCTTGCCTTAGCCTCCCAAGTAGCTGGGACTACAGGTGCCTGCCACAATGCCTGGCTATTTTTTTGTTGCAGTTGTCATTGTTGTTTAAGCTTAGGCTGGGTTTGAACCTGCCAGCTTTGGTGTATGTGGCTGGCACCATAACCACTGTGCTACCAGTGCTGAGCCAAAAATAGATAAATTTCTACACACCTGAAGAGTCAACAACACAAAAAGACACAAGAAATTTGGCATCAGGTGGATAACATCTAGGATTTAGGGTTAATATACTGCTTTGGGGTACTGTACAAAGTCTTATCATTGTCTGTAACCTTGAAATTTCAGATCTAGGGAGTACAGTATACAATTCAAAACACTTTCTTTGTACCTGTTCTCATGTTAGACCTGTTATTTTCCTAACTTTTGCAGTCTTCTAGAATAATCTTTCAGATTTTTCAGTCTTCTAGAATAATCTTTCTGATCCACTAAACAGCACTGGATCAGATCTCTTCTATACATGACCTCATTCTTGTCGCATCTCTGTTTGCAGAGAGACGGTCAAATTCTTGGAGGTGGAAACGAACTGCCAACTGATTGACCATTTTCTTCAAGGTAAGAAATGCTGCAATAACTTGGAAAGTTAGGAAGATGGTGAAGATGATATGTATCGCTTTTTCCAGAGGCAGATTTGTTAGGCCTTCATTTAAGAGCAAGAAAAGAATTAAAGGCAATTGCAGTAGAAGGCTCAAAAGCCAAAATCCAGCCAACTCAGGAACCTGCAGTGACATACATCAAAAGTAATAAAATGAGTAAAATATAGTTTTTTGTTTATACAGATAATCAAGTACATGTTACTACTGTGAACCGGTATTACAGGCTCTGTTAGTAATTCAAAAGGAAGATGATACGGTCAGAGAACTTAGTCTAGTTGAGAAAACTAACATATGTAAAACAATTTTAGAATACTACAAATTAATGAATAATTAAATGCAACATTTAGAGGTATAGACTAAATGCTATAAGAAATAAGGGTGATTAGGGTAGGTGAAAGAAAGTCTTCAAGGATGTAGGCTTGTGAAGTTGGGTATAAGGAGGAAAGGGCAAAAAGATAAGTAAGCAAACATGAAGCAAGCATGCCTAGGAAGCAACATGTCCGCTGGGATGAATGACGGACTGCATTATGAAAAGCAAGAACTACAGTAAGACAGGCTGGACGAGCCTAATTATGAAAGGCATAACAAACCACAGAGACCTTTAGGCATTATCCCTACACTCTGGTAACTTAAATGCGTAGGCAGAATGAAATGCTTAGGCAGCATGATGATGCAGAAAACTTAGGCCTGGCATAGAAAAAGAGTCTATAATCCCCCCTCCCCCATTTTCTTATTTAGGACCCAAATAAACATGGTTAATTAACTAAGTATTTTTAAGACTGATGAGAAGACAGAAAACTCTCAGTTCTTATGTGCTTAGTACATTGCGGTACTATATGTGAAAATCATTTCCACTTAATCAAAACAAACTTGTAAAGTATGATTTTCCCTATCTTATATATGTGGAAACCAGAGCTCAAGAGAGTAAGTGAACAGACAGTGACAGAGTGATAAAATTGGAGCCAGGCCTTAAATTCAGTCTTAAGTCCTTTCTACTTCACCTCGCTGCCACTTACTTGCTATGAAAACCTTACTGAATTTATGTATAGCACTGAGAAAAAGAAGTGTTTACCTTTTCCTGTAGGTTACCCATGTAGCCCAGATACAATCGAATGGCTTCAATTAAGGTTATTAGGATGATAATCGTGATCACAATAAATTTGTAGTAATCAGGCAAAACTGAATACTATAAAAAAAGTGAAAACATGTTTGTAAAATTTCACATAACCTGGGGTAGAAAAAAATATTCAGAACTTTATTTCTTTGACAATGTGACAATGTCAGGCGTGGGCAGAAGAGGCCTCACAGAAGTATTAAAGCATAGACATACCTTCATCTGAAGCATCATAAGGCAGCTTACCCACCAAAGTGGGAAAAAATAAGTGTTAAAATAAAGTGACATCTGCAATGCCAAACTGGAGACCATCTCATTATCTACAGAAAAAATAGAAAAGGAATAAATTCTTAATCCTGGTCTATGCCCAATTATGTCCCTTTGTTCCTCAGAATTACTACCTAGAATATTGGCTCAATAACACCCCAAGTTTTAAGCCTATTTATAATCATGACAATGAAAAGAACACTCATCCTAATACCATTTGGTTCAAAGATTGTCTACTTGGGGTACGTTTCATATTTTTCATTACTTTACCATTTTGCCATTATAGTCTGCTGACTTTTTTGCACACTACTGGCATAGATTAAATTGGAATATCAATGCAAATCCTATTTAATAGATAATAATGCCACTGCCTCCTTTGTAGAGTTCTATATAAAGAGCCTATAAAAATAAATGCATAAAACACACAAAAAATGGAGTTCTCACATGTAATCTAAACTCATACAAAAGCTAATCTCTCTAGATTATAATTAAACATATGTCTCTTTTCAGTACACCCTAATCTCAGCAATTCTTTAATGTTCAATTCAATGCCACCTATTCCATTAGTCCTTCCTTGATTATGTTCTCCCACCCCAGCAGGAATCTCTTCCCCCTCTAGGTACTTATCACTCTAAACAGTGTATAAGAAGGGCTGGCAAGAAGCCACACTACCCTGGCGTGAGACAGTCTGGTATACTGAAGAGATCATGGACTTCAGAGTTCGAGTAAACCAGAGCTCCCCAAACCCCCATGACCATGGATGCCAGACTTGAAATAAATTATTTAACCTCTTTGAGCTTCAATTTAATCTGTAAAATGGTAACATTAATACTACCTCACGAGTTGCCTATAAGAATTAGAGATAATATAAATTATCTCACCCTAGCACCATGGCTAGCACACACTCAGTAGGCCCTCAACCACTTTTAGCCCCCTTTCCTTCTTCTCACCCACTTATATACAGTCTCATTATAAGCACAGATCATGTCCTACCCAAATTTGAGCTCCTCATAAAACCTAGCGTCTTGCTTTACATGAAATGAGTATCAAATATACATAAGTAGAAAGAACAAAATCAATGAAATCATACTGTCATAAGGACACCACCAACATAGCCATTTGTGATTCATGAAATCCATTTATCTAAGGTTGATTACAACATACCTTTTGCTTTTATGTAAGGGAGAAGGGTCCTAAATTAAGAATTTGATTTTTAAAACATTATTTTTTCTTTTTATCTGCAGCTGAGTATTTTTTTATATCATTTCATAATGTTAATATATAAATGATGATCTTGGTCTCTTACAACAAGATGGTTTCCTTTAGCTCCAAGAATATAATAGATTATGATCTCCTTTTTTTGTTTGTTTGGCTTGTTTTTTTGAGACAGGGTCTTCCTCTATCACCAAGGCTGCACCCAGACTGGAATGCAGTGGCCTGATCATAGCTCACATACACCCTCAAATTCCTGGGCTCAAGCCATCCTCCTGTTTCAGCCTCTCAAAAAGCTGGGGCTACATACGCAGTTAATTCCTTTCTTTCAGATGGGAAGGGTGTTGAGGGGATGTGTCTCATTATGTTGTCCTGGCTAATGATTTACTTTTGTTTGTACTTATTTATTAAATTATCACGATAGAGGAAGGAATTCTTAAAATCTGTTAAATCTGAAGACAACTCACTAGCTTAGGATTCTTTTCATAACAATAATACAATGCTGTGGACATGGTAATAATATAAACTTGCTATTACAGTACAAATTATCAAACCTACTTCAGATCCACAAAGAAGAAAATGTGGATCAATAATGATAAATGGGCAAACTGAAAATTTTAATACCTTTGGAGCAGAAACTGTAGTCACATTTTGCAAAGAAAGGTTTTTATGGTAGAAGTTTTTGTACATGGATATTTTAGAAGTTATATGTTATACCCGTATTTAAGCAGATCAAACTTATAATCATACAATTGAAAAATCATGTTAATATGTAAATAAATCTTAAAAGCATAAGACATGAATTTACTAAATTTTCCAAAAGTTCAAGTTGAATTCTGCAAATGGAATTTAAATTAAAAAATACAACACAAGGAACAAGCATTTGCACACACCCTGTTTCTCTCCTTCAGCATCCCGCCATTCTAGAAGACTGTGGGTTAGCGTACAGACTTGTAAGCGGCTGCCTTCCTCTCAGCTCAGACTACTTTCCAGTTCCTTTTTTTGTTTATTTTACTTTTATTTTCTCATCTGTAAAACTGTCCTAATCTTCCTTAGCTTTTAACTGTTAGAAACTCTTTACTAGTTTTCCCTTCATTTTGTGACCTCTTCTCCCTGTCACCCCTGAAGGGTCACTGTATTCTGGATAAATGCATGCCATGATACGACTCATTTAAGAGTCTTTTATAAATAAAGTTTGCATTAACTATAAAAAAAAAAATACAATACAAATCTGAGTTATTCAAACTACTGGTCAGCTGCCTGTTTTTGTTCAGTGAGCTAAAAAGGGTTTTTTACATGTTCAAATGGTTAACAAAATAATATTTCTGACTTGGGAGAACCATATGAAATTCAAATTTCAGTGTCCATAAAGTTTTATTGGAACACAACATGCCTATTCAATTACCACTGCCTGTGGCCTCTATAAAGGCATACAAAATCTAAAATACTTAACTATCTGGCCTTTTTCAGCAAAGATCTACTGATCTTGTATTATCAGATTTTAGTGCCTATGAAGCCTCAGCCTTAGAATCAGTAATGTGAAAACCTAAATTTTTCACGTTTTTCCTGCTACACCCTAAATCATAAAGACCACTACACTTGGGGGACAAGCAAGGGATCAAGGTAACAAAATGCAACTATGAAAACTGACTTTACATGTCTCTGCCCCCTTTTAAAATTCCCTAAAACCAAACAGGAAACTACTCAGCAGAGTTCAGTAATGAAAGCCGTAAGGGTCTGGTTAACAGTGTGCTGTCAATCATCATGATTTAGGAGGAGGAAACTGCTTTATTACTTGTTGTCAATTTGAACGCAGCATCCTGTTATTTTCTTACCAGATTTAGGGTAGCAGTTTTACATGTATATAGGGAAGGAGAAAGTAGGGAAGAGGTAAACTCTGTTTAAGGCCTGCTATGGGAGATGCCACTTTTAAATCAAAGGGTTTAAAGTGACTCATTAAAAATTTTTCTTTCCTTCTCTTCTGCCAGAAAATAGTCTTGCAAAAGAATGTACTTGTTCTGCTAGGCAAAGAAAAAAGGCAAAGATAATTTATTCAGGTGGGATTTGGAGGTTAGGGAAGGCGTTTCCTCTATCTCAGCCAGAAATGCCACGGCGGGTGCCGCAGAGGAAAAGCAACGTCGTCAGCATTCTCCTTTGCGGAGCGCGTGACCCGGCATGTGCTATGAAGGCAACTTTTATCTTTTTATTTTGGGGATCTCCTCCCAGCAAGGGTAGGCCTCCCGCTGCGCAAAGATTGTCACTACCTCAGCTGCCAAGCTTGCAGGGAGCCGGCCAGGCGGCAGCACGACCTGAGGTCTGGCCGGTGGTAGGACTGAGGGGCCTCAGTCCCAGGTCCAGCGCCCGGCCCGGCCCCTCCTCTGCGAAGCTCCGCAGAGAACTGGCTGATGGTGAAATCGCCATTTTAGATCCGGGCAAATTTTGGATACTGCAAAGCCCGCGCCAAGCCCCCTGCTCCGGGCCTCGGTCACTCACCCGGACCCTCATTGTATTCCGGCCCGGTCCGGTTGGAGTCTCTGAACACTGTCCGGCTGAAATTCCCCAGCCGCTGGCGAACTGAATCCGGCAGCTCCATGCCAGGGCCTCGGGGTCTCTGGCTCCGCAGACGCAGGCTGGTCTGCAGGCGCAGCCGCGCTCTGTGGTTCCCACGGCAACCGGGTGGCGAGAGGCGCGGCGGGACGCGGGTGCGCGCTGGGCAGCTGTGCAGGGCCGGGTCCGGAGCCCGCTTGCCTGAGCTGAGAGCGACTGGCCCCCTGAGCCCAACGCCTCAGTAGTGTTCAAAACCGCGGATCCCTTAGTCTTGCTTTGAGTCTCATCGTTTGGGGGCGGTGGGGAAGATCAATGACTTGGAGTGAGATTTCGGTGCAGTGGGACTTGCCAGTGGACTGTAAATCGGTGCAACCTTTGTGGAGGGAAATAGAAGGAATCCAGAGCTTAAAGAATGTTCACGACCCAGTAGCTCCTTTTGTGGCAGGGATGTATGCGGGTAATATTGTCACTGATTCCGTAACAGTTAGCTTATTAAATGTATTAGAGCACATACATTCAATGGTGTACATTGCAGCAGCTTATAAAATGCCTGCAAAGAATATTTGATGATATGGATTAATCTTAACTAAAAATAAAAAAGCAGAAATAAAACTAAATACAAACGAGCCTAATTTAGCAAAATGTTTGTGTAAATCCAGGGGTACAGGACGAGGGAGCATATGCACACTGGCTTCAAGCAAAAAAGATTAGAATGAGAAAATACAAAATGTTGACAGTAGTAAATCTCCGGAGAGTGGGATTGTGGGTAATTAAAAAATTTTGAAACATCTGTATTTTTCAGTTTTCTCTGAAAAGCGTATTACTTGAGAAACAAACCCCTATCTCAGTGTAATATACAGACAGAAAAAGGGACACCTTGAATATATACTGTAACCAGCAACTAGATCAAGAAACAGAACCTTACGGGCATTCCCAGAAGCTCCCCCTTCCTATTCCCTTTCAGTCACTAACCCTCCCCATGGTACCTTTCCTGACTTCTAATAGCATATGACAGTTTTGCCTTTAAAAAAAAATTCAAACCATTTATTGTGTGACTAATCATCATTGAAAATTTTAAGATAAGCTGGACGTTGAAACAACTGTCCTCATGTATTTAGGTACTGTTCCTTCATGGAATCCATGCTTAAATCTGCAGTATGCAATTTTTAGGCACCTTATTCCACCAGTCCAGGTGGTATTTTGTCTTTTAGCTTTGGCATTCCAGTTATACTTGTACTTGGCCAGGTAGCTGCACTTGCCACAGGTGAAATTCTGAAGGTGGTAGGC